GTTCCCGATTGGCCGGCCGCCCCCCCCCTCGGCCCGAACCGAGAACGTCGCCTTTCATTGGTGGAAATAAAAAAATAACTATCCTCGTATTGTGAAAACGTTTGTCCCGAGTCGTATGATACAAATAAAAAATATCCAAAGCGTGCCGCCGCAGCCTCTGCGCTCCCAGGACTCCGCCTCCAGCGGCGGCAACAAAATCCTTCCTGGAAAGACAAAAATACTTCGAAGACTTTGGCCACGTAACACGAAGGAGAGAACGGAGAGGACGAGATTGTGGATGCTCCCTGATGCCACGCTGAGAATATTGCATAAATTGGGGGGAGGGGGCGGGGACTGACAGACAAGACGCACATGCTACTGTCCACGAGGTCACAATAGGGATCAGACTCCGGTAAACAATGAAAAAGATCGATAGCTGTCTGTATGTTAGAAATGGCTTCTTCCGCATTGTGAACGATCCCGCCGCCGGCGCCGCACGTCTCACAGGATCTGCTTGACGAGCACGTCGGTGACGTTCAGGGAGGTGAAGGGACTCAGATCCCGCCGCCGGCGCCGCACGTCTCACAGAATCTGCTTGACGAGCACGTCGGTGACGTTCAGGGAGGTGAAGGGACTCAGATCCCGCCGCCGGCGCCGCACGTCTCACAGAATCTGCTTGACGAGCACGTCGGTGACGTTCAGGGAGGTGAAGGGACTCAGATCCCGCCGCCGGCGCCGCACGTCTCACAGAATCTGCTTGACGAGCACGTCGGTGACGTTCAGGGAGGTGAAGGGACTCCGCTCTATGTGAGTGGCCTGATGGACGATGAGGTTGCTATTTCTGGTGAAACACTTGCCGCATACGGGACAGGAATAGGGTTTCTCTCCCGTGTGTCCGGTCAGGTGATTGAGAAGACTCGGCTTATTGGCAAACACCTTGCCGCACTCGGGGCAGGTCAGTCTCTCCCTCCTGTGATCCCTACGGTGATTGGCGAAGTCGGAGCGCCTGAGGAAGCATTCTTGACACTCGGAGCAGGTGTAGGTCTTCAGTGTGCGGTCCTTCTTGGTGGAGCTGACGGCTGCCTCTTCGCTCGTTCCCTCCTCGCCGGAATTGGGCTCCTCCGTATTAGCAGCAGAGTTTGGGGGTCCTTCATCTTTGGGGGGTGGCAGAATTTCAGGTTCTGGAACTGTCTCATCTTCCTCTGAGCCCGATCCTCCCTCAATTGGGGCAAACGAGAACTTGGTATGCGCGTGTTTTATGAGGGCGTTCACGTCGGTATCCAAGTTGCTGTTGTCATCGAACCCTAAGAAGTCCACGGGGCCACCGCTGTTGGGGAAGAGCAATGGAGGAGGTTCGGTGTGCGTGGACGGGTACTGCTCATAGTCGGCTGGTGTGTAGGTGATGGAATCATTATCATCGTCACCGGAGTCGCTATCTTCAGCGCGATACTTGGGTGTGTAGCGGCGTTTCTTGTAGCGCGGGGCCGCGTAGGTTTCACTATAGTTCACATTTCCTTCGTCCTCCGACACGGACTCCTCTTTAATCTTGATGGACAGGAACTGCGTGCCGTCCGCGGCGTTACCGTCTTCACAGGACGCCGATTCTTCCTTGATACGAATAGCCGTGAACTCGATGTGATCCGAGTCGCCTAGGATGTCCTCTCCACCTAACTCGTCTTTCACTTTCTGATCCTTGAAGGGTGTTTTCACCGTCTGGACATAGGTCCCCGATTCCGAGATCATTCCACCTTCCTGACCGGCCACCTCATCCTTCTCAATGGGACCCGTGGCCCTACAGATGTTACTATCCACAGAAATGGGCTCTTCCCGCAGGGCCAAGTCAGCCAGCCGCGCACCTGGAGCAAGAGAAAACACAACATGAGATGCAACATCCGCACATGGTACAACCCCAGGAGAGGTACAACCCCAGGAGAGGTACAACCCCAGGAGAGGTACAACCCCAGGAGAGGTACAACCCCAGGAGAGGTACAACCCCAGGAGAGGTACAACCCCAGGAGATGATCACCAACACCTCTTACCCCCAAACGTGGACGGCCGGCTTCTCTCCACTATTACACTTTTCTGCTGACCTTTGCTCTTCCCTTTCCCAACATGGGAACTAGCGGCGTCTTCACTGCCTCCGGGGCCCTAAGACACACAATGATCGGGTCACCACACAGGCCCATGCCTAACAATCTCCATCTACAGATACTTCCCAGAACCTCACCTCTCCGGTCAGCAGCTGGATGATTCGGAAGGTTAGGTCCAGGATCTTCTGGTCATTTTGCCGCTCTTGTTTTAGAGTCTGTCCTCCAGATGCCGATATCGGACCTCCAGATGCTGGCGGACAGTTCCCGGGGACGACAGGCTCACCAGACTTTGTCATGACAGAACATTCCTAGATAACAAGACGTGGTCATAAATATAACGCACATAATAATATCTCCGCATACAAGTCACCGAATCCAGTGTGGAAACACCAAGATGAAAGCTACTTCCCACCATACATTCCATACCACCCAGCATGCACTGCGGACCAGAGAACAAGGCTCCTCTGATACCTGGAGTCCAGGAGGCCCCCCATACCTGGAGTCCTCAACAACCCTGGAGCCCCAATACCTGGAGTCCAGGAGGCCCCCCATACCTGAAGTCCACAACAACCCTGGAGCCCCAATACCTGGAGTCCAGGAGGCCCCCCCATACCTGGACTCCTCAACAACCCTGTAGCCCCAATACCTGGAGTCCTGAACAACCCTGGAGCCCTAATACCTGGAGTCCAGGAGGCCCCCCCATACCTGGACTCCTCAACAACCCTGTAGCCCCAATACCTGGAGTCCTGAACAACCCTGGAGCCCTAATACCTGGAGTCCAGGAGGCCCCCCCATACCTGGACTCCTCAACAACCCTGTAGCCCCAATACCTGGAGTCCTGAACAACCCTGGAGCCCTAATACCTGGAGTCCAGGAGGCCCCCCCATACCTGGACTCCTCAACAACCCTGTAGCCCCAATACCTGGAGTCCTGAACAACCCTGGAGCCCTAATACCTGGAGTCCAGGAGGCCCCCCCATACCTGGACTCCTCAACAACCCTGTAGCCCCAATACCTGGAGTCCTGAACAACCCTGGAGCCCTAATACCTGGAGTCCAGGAGGCCCCCCCATACCTGGACTCCTCAACAACCCTGTAGCCCCAATACCTGGAGTCCTGAACAACCCTGGAGCCCTAATACCTGGAGTCCAGGAGGCCCCCCCATACCTGGACTCCTCAACAACCCTGTAGCCCCAATACCTGGAGTCCTGAACAACCCTGGAGCCCTAATACCTGGAGTCCAGGAGGCCCCCCCATACCTGGACTCCTCAACAACCCTGTAGCCCCAATACCTGGAGTCCTGAACAACCCTGGAGCCCTAATACCTGGAGTCCAGGAGGCCCCCCCATACCTGGACTCCTCAACAACCCTGTAGCCCCAATACCTGGAGTCCTGAACAACCCTGGAGCCCTAATACCTGGAGTCCAGGAGGCCCCCCCATACCTGGACTCCTCAACAACCCTGTAGCCCCAATACCTGGAGTCCTGAACAACCCTGGAGCCCTAATACCTGGAGTCCAGGAGGCCCCCCCATACCTGGACTCCTCAACAACCCTGTAGCCCCAATACCTGGAGTCCTGAACAACCCTGGAGCCCTAATACCTGGAGTCCAGGAGGCCCCCCCATACCTGGACTCCTCAACAACCCTGTAGCCCCAATACCTGGAGTCCTGAACAACCCTGGAGCCCTAATACCTGGAGTCCAGGAGGCCCCCCCATACCTGGACTCCTCAACAACCCTGTAGCCCCAATACCTGGAGTCCTGAACAACCCTGGAGCCCTAATACCTGGAGTCCAGGAGGCCCCCCCATACCTGGACTCCTCAACAACCCTGTAGCCCCAATACCTGGAGTCCTGAACAACCCTGGAGCCCTAATACCTGGAGTCCAGGAGGCCCCCCCATACCTGGACTCCTCAACAACCCTGTAGCCCCAATACCTGGAGTCCTGAACAACCCTGGAGCCCTAATACCTGGAGTCCAGGAGGCCCCCCCATACCTGGACTCCTCAACAACCCTGTAGCCCCAATACCTGGAGTCCTGAACAACCCTGGAGCCCTAATACCTGGAGTCCAGGAGGCCCCCCCATACCTGGACTCCTCAACAACCCTGTAGCCCCAATACCTGGAGTCCTGAACAACCCTGGAGCCCCAATACCTGGAGTCCAGGAGGCCCCCCCATACCTGGACTCCTCAACAACCCTGTAGCCCCAATACCTGGAGTCCTGAACAACCCTGGAGCCCCAATACCTGGGGTCCAGGAGGCCCCCCATACCTGGAGTCTAGAACAACCCTGGAGCTCCAATACCTGGAGTCCAGGAGGCCCCCCATACCTGGAGTCTAGAACAACCCTGGAGCCCCAATACCTGGAGTCCAGGAGGCCCCCCATACCTGGAGTCTAGAACAACCCTGGAGCCCTAATACCTGGAGTCCAGGAGGCCCCCCATACCTGGAGTCTAGAACAACCCTGGAGCTCCAATACCTGGAGTCCAGGAGGCCCCCCATACCTGGAGTCTAGAACAACCCTGGAGCCCCAATACCTGGAGTCCAGGAGGCCCACTAAACCTGGACATCAGAGCAACCCAAAGGTCATTTCCAAAGCAAACAAAAAGCCCCATACCCCTCCCCCATATCTAAAGTCCAAAGCAACCTAGGGCCCTAGACCTTATCACTCCCCCCTCCCCCTCCCGTATCTGAAGTCCAGAGCATCCCCAAAGCCTAACTTTGCCAGCATACCCTTATGTAAATCATTAGCCCTCCCTTCCCCATGGTAAGAGAAGATGGAAGTTGGGGACCCAGATGCTGAACCAGTAGAGACAACTCTTTACTTGAGCCTAATGACTTGGAATCTCCACAAAGTGGGAACCCCCAAAGAAAAGGTCCCCCCCAAACTGAGACGTCCACATACAGGTGCAACAAAAGGAATGCCAAACATTCAAAATGGTCCAAAATATGACTTCATGGTAAATAAGTGACAACAGAAAAGCAAAAGGTGCACTTTGGGGGCCAAACCTCCCCCTCCCCCCTTCTTCAGGGCTTCAGCAAAACTCCGGGGTCAATCATTCGGAACCAGGAGCTTTAATCAGGAAGTAATCATGTCAGTGGCAGAGCAGTCACACATCATCGGTATGGACCAATGGTAAGGCAGGAGGGGCGGGCTGATAGGAGCCAGGTAGCCAAAGCTCCTAGAAGATTGTGCGGGCCCCTGGATTGGACAGAATGGCCCCTGGATTCCATATTCATTTGTAGGGATGTACGGATACGAGTATCAGTGACCAGAACTCGTCCAAATGCCCCCGATGCCTAACCCGATACCCCAACCTCCGGTATCAGGAAGCCCAGTCAGTACACGCTGCCTGGCTTCCTGATTGGCCGGGAAGCCGACTTCATGCT